ATGTGACTCTCCTTAGGCACACTCTACATCATCGATCACTTTCCTCTTTGGCCCCATAATCTTCTTGATCAGAAAATTTAGGACACTGCTGAGTTACATGATGTTACAGTACAAGTTCTCATATGTCCTGAGTCTTAATTGTGAAAGGTCACTTTCTACTATGTGCTGCTCTGCCTTGGACCCAGATGGATATGGACAGAAACCTCCAGTAACTGTGAGCTAAATAAACCTTTCCTTCTTTCATTTTGAGTGTCAGGTATTTGTTCCAGCAACGAGAGAAGAGTATGTAAGACAACTATCTTACAGTGTTTAGTTGGTGTAGTGGTTCACAGAGTAAAGGCAAGTGGCACAGATGAAGACCTTCACAGGTGGCTGTTGGCGGGCTGTCAGGATGCCCTTGCTTCCCTGTGGATCTCTCCCACAGCATTCTGCGATTCATTTAATGAAGTACTGTACAACTCCTTGGCTATCAAGTTAAAATACTCCTTTTTTCTCAATCCAAAATATGCTCTTAAAATAACTTTATGTACATCATGTAGTAGATGTTATCAGATGTAATAAACATGTGGAGGTTCCTGGAGGGTTTTTTTTGGGGGGGAGATACTTTGAGACAGGGTCTTACTTTGTAGTTTAGGCTGGCTTGGAATTCACTTAGCAGCCCAGTCTAGACTTGAACTCCTGGTGATCCTTCTGCTTCAGCCTCCCAGGTGCTGGGATTGTGAGCACGTGCCATCATGGCTAACAAAAAATTGTGCTTTTTATTAATATTTTGAACCCCTGACTAATTACAGTCCTATAATTAGTTACATAATTGTTTTATTCTAAAATATGGTTTTCTTGAGGACAGAAAATCTTTGTATTCTTAGTAATCCTAAAAGTACATTGTTGGCTGAATGAATGAATTATACCATGCCTGTGGGAATAAATGGCTACTAATTGTGTCTATTATTTCTATTTATAGGTATTATCATTTAAAGGAACTTTCTTACCAACATATCTATGATAAAAAATAAAAGTCACAGAGGAAATCTTAGCTGTTATTTCTCAAGAAACAAGCATTAATGTCAGAATGGCTCACGTAAAGCGACTAGTAAAGTTACATATTAAAAGACACAAAAAATTCTGGAAGCTTGGTGCAGTAATTTTTTTCTTTATAATAATTTTGATTTTAATGCAAAGAGAAGTAAATGTTCAATTTTCCAAAGAGGAATCAAGGATGGAAAGAAACCTGAAAAACAAAAACAAAGTGCTTGATTTAATGTTAGAAGCTGTAAACAATATTAAAGATGCAATGCCAAAAATGCAGATAGGAGCACCTGTGAGGCACCACGTTGATGCCGGGGAGAGACCCTGCCTGCCAGGATATTACACAGCAGCAGAACTGAAACCTGTTCTCGACCGCCCACCTCAGGATTCGAATGCCCCCGGTGCTTCTGGAAAGGCCTTCAAGACAACCAATTTAAGTATTGAAGAGCAAAAGGAAAAAGAACGTGGGGAAACGAAACACTGCTTTAATGCTTTTGCAAGTGACAGGATTTCTTTACACCGAGATCTTGGACCCGACACACGACCTCCTGAGTATGTTGGAGAATATTCATTCCTTATTGTTTGTCACCAGGGATTTCAGTGGACAAGCATTAGTTAAGAAATTTGCTTGTTCTTCAGCTACTGGGAGGCAGACAATCAGGAAATATTGTTTATTCAATGTGCTGTGTTTATTTTTGTTTGTAATTATTGAGGCTGGATATCTTAGCCAGTGAGATTGGGCAGACAGGAGAAGTTATTAGCTTGGAGAGTAGAAAACCGAGCTCTAGACTTGACTTTCATGTGCCAGAAAATCTGTTATGCTTTAATGTTGTGATTTCATTGATTTAGGAAGAAATATTAGATAGAAAATATTTATGGAAAATATTGGAGGTAGCAGACTTGTTTTCATTTCTCTGTGTATTCCTATAGAGTAGAAATGTTAAAAAATGTGCCAAGATTTTGGAGCTATTATATAATATTTTATGCATTTATAAAGTAAATCACAGACTTTGTGACTCTTTTCAGTACATAATTATATCTGAAAATGCCTGTGTTTTGTAAGCTTCCCTTAAGGCAGAATGATGTTACAATTATTATTTCCATTATGATCCTGTCTTTATAGTTTTATTAAGTTATAGCTGTAGCGTTGTCTCCCTGGAGGTACAGAGAAGCCAACATTTGTCATTATTGAGTCACTTGGTGTGTGTTTGTCTCTACTATACAGTGCTTTGATTAATAGTTCCCTCTAGGCTCTACTATTGTTTCTCTATGTCCTTAGTTAACCATTTTGTTATCTAAAAGGTAATGTTCAAATGCTGTATTTGAATTGCAAAGGCTAAAATGAATTCCAGAACCCGCAAGCCAGCATCAGAGTTTTGTGAGCACAAGATAGGCAGACAGCAAGCAAACAGTGCTGTGTAATTTGGGTTTTGGTTATGACACATTATATTTGGTGGTCTTACCGAGGAAAAGAGCTTTTGTCGAATGGTGTATTGTGTCACTTAAGATTTTTGTAGATTTATGATTATGAATATTTGTTCCACTGTATGAATCCTTTAATGTTAAAGTTGAATAACTTAGGTTTCTGTCACTTTATTTTAATGTGTAGTCTAAGATCAAGTAGCTCAGCATCAATGCATGAAAGAAACCAATGAATCTCTATAAAATATTCTAGCTCTTATAACAGGTCATAGTATAGTTTCTTGTATTAATAGATTCAAATATAGTAGTGCATCTTACTGGTTTTGTTGAAAGTCTTGTCTGAGAAGCAGTCCACATAAAAAGCCAATGAGCATGATATTTATTCTTTGAAATATTAGCCCAAGGTGAGGTTTTTAATGATAGCATTAAGAAGATATAATAATGTTCAATACTGTTAATTTTTAAGTAAGTGAAAACCAACTAATCACATTTAACAACATTGTTGTACTTAAGGCTTACTGGATTCTGATGTTGATGAGGAGTTTGTAGAGGTGGTGATGAATTGCTTTGTCCTTTGAATGTTACCCATGTCGACAAGGAGCACATTTTCTGAAGAATTGCTAGTCATTTTACATGCTTATGAGTCATAGAGATCTATTATCCCTTAAAGTCAAATGGTCATGTGATTCACAATTGAACAACTTTCTATATGCAAAATTGTTCTAATGGTTTGACTGAAAAATATATAATCCTTGCCAAGATATATTGTGCTGTTTTAAGTGACATGTAAAATGATTTTAAAAGCATATCATGCTCATTATTTCAAAATAAATGACGTAAGTGAAATACCGTGAAATATTTTCACTTCCATTAATGATACAATGTGTTACTTTACTGTGACACCTCCCACTGTATTACTTTTAATTACCAATTAACATCAGTAAGTTCAGTTAAGCAAATAAATACTGCCTTAAACAGGGAAAGCTGTGCAAGATTAAAGCAACAGTGTTTTAGTAGTGTGCATTTTTGTGTAGTTTTATATATTGCATCTTTGTTTTTTTACAATTATTGATTAATATTATATTAACTGTGTGGCAAATAAAGATAGGAAAAAAGGTTTTAATCCTAAAATTCTATTCCCTCTCTGAAATGCCTTTAAGACAATAAGTTATATGGTAGTTTTTTGGTTTTTTTGCTTTAAAAAAAAATCGTATTTTGGAGGTTCTCAGAATTTGTATTTGTAATCCATATAGGTTTATAGATACCTAAGTGTAACAAATATGAATTTATGTTTAGTAATTCTGTATAAATAAGGTTCAAATATAAATATATACATACATACACATATATTTTAATATTACATATAGTATTTTAATTTTAATTTTAATTAATAGTTTCACATTCAATTTGGGATAATTTGCTTTTATTCCAATACATGAAGGAAATTATGCTCGTTTAATCCTGCCTGTGCATTTGTATTGCACTTTGAACTCACTAGGCCCAAGGGAGCTTGCTCTCACTACATCTCCCCTCTCGTCCCCTTTGCCTTCTAAGGTTTGTTGATTCCTCCTCTTCAAATTCTATTCCCAGTCCAGTGCCCATTCTTGTTCACTATAAAAATTCCAACCTCAAGATTTTCCTTTTGAGGGCCAGCCAAATAGCTCAGCAGATTAAAGCACTTGCAAGCCAGCTCAGGGGCCAAGGGTTCAATCCCTGGGCCTGCCGTGCCGGCCCCGCCCCCAGGGCATGCTGAGATGGCAACTGAGGTGGAGCATGGTGGTGCACCCCTGTAAACAGGTGGATCACTATGAGTCTGGTCTAGTAGTGAGCTACTGAACACCCTGTAGACCCTTTCCTAAAATACAAAAAAAAAAAAAAAGATTTTCTTTTTGAAAATGACTCCAAAGATATGCACATTAAAATATGGATATAAAATAATTAATATGAGACATTAAACTGTTACCCCAGAGAATACAGCCCCTTCTTTGGCTCTAGAAAGCCACCGAAATGTGTTGACTCTTTTCACTGCAAGTGAATGATTTACTTCCATATCTTTGGGTTTGAGCCCCAATATTTGATACTTCACATACTTTGTTTATTGTATGGGATGATTTGACCATCCATGTATGAGAATTTTATCATCGTTTGTTCAAAATCATACAGAAAATGATGGGTTTAAATGATCTTAGAAATAAATCACTTTGTTTATCTTTTGTGTAGATCACACATGATTATTTCATATTCTGTCACTTTAAAGTCCTTTTCTCTGTCGTTTTGTCCTTACCTTGATTCATTGGGTCAGCAACAGTGATCTCCGCAACCCCAGCCTCAAAGGCTAGAAATTGTACAGAGCCACCAGCACCCTAGTTTCTTAATGTAAAGATTATTTTTTTTGAGGAAGATATTGTTGTAAAACTATATTCAAGTTCAGCTGATGACTAGTGTTTTTAGCTAGTAAATAACACCAACAATGAGGCAGTGGTGTGCAGGATTTCTCTCTCAGTGCCTTTCAACCTTGCAGATGGTGATAGGAGCACAAGACTTTGCACATGGACTTGGATATTTGTTTTAAAATTTTAAATATGTCATGTTAAATGCTAGATATTGAATAGTAGAGTAAAACTTTTATAAAACACTTCAAATATAGTAGTAAGAATTTATCTGATCGGCCAGGAATGGTCATACACACCTCTAGAACCAGCACCCAGGAGGCTGAGGCAGGAGGATTGCCACTAGTTTGAGGCTAACCTGGGCTACATAGTGAGCTCAAGGACAGCCTGAGCTATAGTGAGACCTTGTCTCAAGAAAAAAAAAAAAAAAAAAAAAGTTGAAAAAAAAGAATTTTTCTAATGATCTAATGATCAGCATCATGCTCCGATGAGATTAGGCACGTTCAGGGTGGCACAGCCGTAGACATGATGAGCATCATAAGAACTTAGGTTTTATGGTAAGTGATTCTTCCCTTTGGTTCCACGTAGATTCAAGAAAATGTATTAAATAAACTTAGTAAATAGTAAATACCTGGAAAACCTATTTAAGAAACTAATATGAAATAATCTCTACAAAAACATAATAAAGTTGCACAGGTTAGGTTGCAAATAAGAAAAATGGATGACTTTTACAAGAAAATAGAAAAATTTGGCTCTTATTTGAGGTAGTAAAGGGTTTTTTTATTTTTACATATTATTTCATTTGTGGGCTGTTCTATTTAAATTGTTTTTAATAATTACTACTTAATAATTACTCAAGAAATTTTATGACTTATTGTGATCTACATTACCAGGCATAATCTCTGAATGATCTGCTTATAGAAGTTTGTTTTGATCTATTTACACATATAATGTTAAGACTATTTCATGTAGAAAGAAACTGCTTTTATCTTTTGACAATAAAGGTTAATGATTCTTTAGCAATAATATTACTAGCAAATAAAGTAACAAAAGTTATAATTGTTCTTCTACTTTGGCTTCTTCTAGATGTATTGAACAAAAATTTAAGCGCTGCCCTCCCTTGCCTACCACCAGTGTCATAATAGTTTTTCATAATGAGGCGTGGTCCACGCTGCTTAGGACTGTCCACAGTGTGCTCTATTCTTCACCTGCAATACTGCTGAAGGAAATCATTTTGGTGGATGATGCTAGTGTAGATGGTAAGAAAGCACAAATTAGATTGTTTCCCCAGTGAATCTATACAGTGGTGTGCAAAGAATACTTGATTGTATAGTGCTCTCCCGTATGCCGTCTCTGAAGTTGAATAGCTTGATTGATAGCTATGATGTATGAAAGTAGATTCTAGGGATGTCTGTGTTCAACCATTTTGCAGTGCAGGAATGTGTGGAACATTGTTTATGACTATTGTTCTCAGTGTGTGACTTTTATTATAAGATGTTGGGATTAGTAAGAGCACAAATTACAGCCTGGAGTCAGGCTGCCTTGATTTGAATCTCAGCTCTTGTTCTAACCAGCTGTGTAATTTGGACAAATTACTTAACATCTCTGCTTCAGTTTCCTTATTGGTAAAACTGGAGTCATACCACATTGCATCCGATTTAAGATGTCATCAGTTTATTTATTTATTTATTTATTTATTTATTTTTGTGGAACTGGGGGTTTGAACTCAGACCCTCGTACTTGCCAGGAAAGCACTTATTCCACTGAGCCATCTCCCCGGCCTGATGTCATTAGTTTATAAGTCAACACAAAGAAAAAATTATACAACTAAACTAACATGAAATTGATTACAAGATGTACCCAACTTTGTAACTTAGAATTGAGAGCATAAAGAAATAGTGTATAACTCCTATGGTTGTTCTGAAAAATCAGTGAGTTAATATGAATATCAGTAAGTAAATAAAATTACTCAAGAATGACTACAGTTTACCCTACTTTGGACAAAAGCTTTAATTCATTTCTACTTGAAAGTTATGGGTCAGCCACTAAGTTACACATCTTAAATTGAAATTATAAGCCCAATATAATTTGCTAAATTTTCAAAATTACATGTTTTAAGGACTGCAAAGATTATCTCAAACACTGCAGCGTTTATTCCTAAAGAGACTCATGTGCACAGGCAGATTCCCAAAGGTCTGCTTCCAGATGGTGTTCTTTCATTTCTTAAACAGAAATGCGTGCTGTCATCAAATCTGAAGCACCACCTATCCTTTTACGTTTTTGTTTTTCCATCAGTGCTAGGGAATGAACCCGGGACCCACTGAGCTATATTCTCAGTCATTCCTTAGTTTTTGCTTTGAGACAAAGTCTTGCTAAGTTGCTGAGCTTCTCAGACTGGGCTCCAGCTGTGGATCTCTGGGCTCAGCCTCTCAGAGTCTGGGATTAGGAGCAGGTGCCACAATACCTTGCCACGCCATTACTTGATGTCCATGTGAAGGGAAAATGGTGCCTATTAAGTTATATTTTCTCAGTTGTATGATGTGTCCACATCCCAAACCCAGCAATAAGTGAATAAAGTAGAAATTATTAACCTGATTTTAAAATTTTCATTTAATTTTTTGAGACACCATCTTGCTGTTTAGTTCAGGCTGCTATATAACCTGAATTAATTACGTAGCCCAGGCTGGTCTCAAATTTGCAGCAATCCTCCTGCTTCCCAGTGCTAGGATTACAGGCGTCTATGCCCAGCTAACCTCATTTATTTAACCACTTTGTTAATATAATTCTACAGTTTTCCATGGTTTTAAAATTTTTGAGTAAATCATGGTTATATTCTCAAAATAAATGAAAGTTTAGGTTAACCTTGCTTAGCCTCTAAGGTTTTATTTTTGCTTTGTCTTCAAAGTACTGGGGATTGAGCTCAAGGAGGGCTCATCTACATTCCCAGTTTATTCATTCTTTCTTTACTTTAGGACAGGGTCTCCCAAAGTTGCTCCAGCTAGCCTTGAACTGATGATGCCCCTGCTCCCCGCTTTTGCCTCAGCCTCCCAGAGAGCTGGGATTATAGGTGTGCACATTCATACCTATCTAATACCAGAGATATTTTTTAAAACTTGGATGTAAATCCTGTTGTTCAGATGTTGAAGTTTTATAATTTTATTCCGCTAGATCCAAATTTTATACAGTAGATCCCTAATACAAATCTCTAATAATCAGGTTACCTCACTACTTAATTGTAATCAGCTGATTCATTTATTGTTTGACCTGAGTTTTTCCTTGTTCTGTTTAGTTGAACTAGAGCCTAAAGACCTTATGTGTTATCTGAGTAGGTTCTGCATACCTCTGTATAGTTTATGTTAAAACAATACTCTTTATGTTAGAAATCTTTTCCTTTGGCTTCTTGACTGATTCCTCTCAGATGATTTTTATTTTGTTTGATTTTTTTTCCAAGTAGTAATGAGAAAATAGAGGCACAGTAAGTTTACCTCCAGATACCTTCAACTGATGGTCCTATCTCTGTGTAATTATACAACCAAAATTGTAGAATTAAAGGAAATCAGAATTTTAAAAGATACTCATGCATGCTGTTCCTGTTTCCTTTTATTCTTTTCATTTTATTCCATCATCTCTAAGGATATATCTATCTTATCCATACAAGGAACTCGTTTTAAAACCTAATATTTTCATGTAACATTGTTATTAGCCCATTTATTTTACCCTTAAAAATCATTTTTAATGACGATGCTTCACTGCATAGTTTACTTGGCCTTTCATCTTTTCTCCATCCTGTAGTGTCACTTTATGTTTTACTGCAACAAACTGTCCTTATCTTGGTGTCACTTTTCCTTTGTTTGCTTTATACCTTTTAGACAAGTAAGGAGAAGTAAAATGGTTAGTCAATTGATTGGAATATTTTAATAATTCTTCATAGTATCTGAAGGTAGATGTAGAACAGTTTTCTCAGAGAAAGTTATCTTTGTGTCCTATTGTAATTTGTCTTACCAGTGCAGTTGAAGAGCCATCAGATACTGCCCATTGTGGAACATGTGTTCCTCTTTGCAGTAAAAGAGCCTGTGGAGTAGAAACTAGGCCTTGGTTCCAGTTTGCCTGGAGAAAGGCAGCATAAAATGTGTAGATCGATCACAATAAGATCCATAAATGCAGTGATAGTAAAGGAAAAGATAACCTTTTCAGAGCATAGGCCAGCTGGGAGGTGCTGTCTTTGTAAGGCTTTGTGTAGTAATCTCTTATTTCATCTTCTCAATAATGTCCTGTAGTAGTAAATATTATTGCCCTCATCTTACGCATAAAGAAACTAAGGGACAAAACAGGTAAGAGAGCTTGACCAAGGTCACAGCTAAAAGGAAGGGTGCCCTCTGAGCTCATGTGTACTTAGCCTCAGGAAGTGGAGAATGCAGATGAGGTTAAATTTCAGAGACAGATAAGAATTGACAGGGAGTTCAGAAACTTTGGATATAGTATAAAGATTTTTTAATGAGTTCAAACAATGAGAAGTTTTATTGAAAAGATCTGTGGAAACTCCCATTTAAAACATCAATTCCTATTAAGACCTTTAAAATTTTACAATTTTAAGTTTTTTCTTTATAGATTACAGTCCTACATATCTTTAGGAGAATTACTTCAAGACAACTTAAAAGATGCCTGAAAGTTAAGACTAGTATTCTAAGACAATAGTGTTTAGATTTAGATTTTTCTAGAGTGGTTCTTGAAACTCACCTCCCTTATGAACAGTTAAACTTTAAATCAGCCATTCGCTTATCTGTATCTCTGTAAAGCTGACAATAAGAGACACCATCACAGATGCACCTATGTCACCTGGAGTTCTGAAATACATCAGAAGCCACTATCTACCCAGACGCCATTGACTTTCTCTCCATGTCCACATCGTTCTCCACAATTTCTGCCCTGGTCAACTACACATGTACTCAACAAGGAACTGAGCATTTAATGGTGACAAAAAAGCTTAACATGTTTAAAAACATAAACGGCATTTGAACAATGGCTTTTTCTTTTGCCTACTGTTTCCACTTTTGCTTTTTATGTCTCTCATCCAAATTGGAATGTCAAGTATCTTAAATCGTATACCCATTGCTGTAATTTTGCCTGCTTTTAGCTTCCTGATTTACATGTTCCTTTCTACTTCCATATTTTTACTGGAAGGAAATCTGTCAGGAGACTCCAAAGCTTCCAAAAATTTCCCGCTGACTGTAAAAATATTCCCAAACTGTTCTAGCTCTGGACTTTCCTCTTGGCCTTTTTTTCAACATTTTGGTCTTGAAGTATTTTGATCACAGCCTAAATATGAAAGAATCTCTCTGATACTTAGCACTTTCATTAAGATTTCTAGACTTAAAAGCCAATTTTACAAAGTGTCAAATATCTTTTTGGCCAAGTCATATTTCTTTCACTCTCATAGTCAACCCTTGTATGCCTTTCCTTAACTCCCAGGGTCTACTCCACTTCCATCTCTGGTTCCTCCAAGCACATTATATGTATTATGAGGACGTGTATATGATACATACATGCTATTGTGTGCAACAGTAGTTAAATATGCACATAGAACCTTTTTCCCAATGAAGAATAAAGATAAAAATTTTCATCTTAATGGCAGAACGTGTGAGACTATTCACATGCATTTGTAAGGATACTTGCTCTGTGATTTTATTAGCGCTTATATAGTGTGTATGAGAATAAATTTAGGAATAACCCTGGTTTATTTTTCTTTGTAGATTACTTACATGAAAAATTAGAAGACTACATAAAACAATTTTCTATAGTAAAAATAGTTAGACAAAAGGAAAGGAAAGGTCTGATCACCGCTCGGTTGCTAGGAGCAGCTGTGGCAACCGCCGAGACGCTCACATTTTTAGATGCTCACTGTAAGTATTTGTGCACAGATATAGTTGTAACATTTTCCTGGCCTCTGATTTAAAAGTGAGTTTTCTCTAGATGCCTAATTCCATTTTCTTGAAGAGCATTTTCAGGTATTCTGGCAGTGAGCGGCCAAGCAGACAGTGGCTGCGACTAGGAGCATCCCTTCGCTTGGGCAGAGCTCTTCGCTCTGTGATGCTTACGTCGCCTCGGCTTTCATGTTCTCCAGTAACCAGACTCTTAGTGAATTCATGACAGGGAGTTTTCCTTTTGCTTTTGTTTCCAGGCATTCGTCCTGGAATGTTGCTACTTTTGGGAGTTTTCTTTAACTTGTTTGAATGTCACTGTTTTAAGTACTATGTACAGTATATAGAAAATATTTTTGCAGTCAACATACTATGGACATGTCAAATATTACTAAATGCCATGTAGTTCCTTGAGCTGTAAATTTGGATTTCAGTTTTTGTTTTTATTTATGTATTTGAGTATTTACCCTTGAATTTGCAAGCCCCTTCATTAAGGCCCAACGAAGGTTACAAGCCTATGCTAATTATTGCAGAAGGGCTTTTAGATTTCTTTGGGTTGTTTAAAGCTATTGCATCCACTATTCTTTCAGCGTAAGACTTTTAAATTAGAAAAGAGATCTAGAGATGTTTTGCAAAGGCGAACACCACTGTTTTTCTAGTTCATTATTAAAACAAGTGTAAAGTAAATGTTCTTCACCTCTTTGGGAATGTGTGTGATGGTACTCCAGCACCACAACTGCCCAAGTGTACGTAGTGGGCAGTCCAGAACAGGACTAGGTCTTTTTTAATTTTATTTTTTATGTATTTGGTACAGGATCTTGTCTGACCATATTTTGCATTATGTAGGATACCTCAGTCCCTGATCAGAATTTACACTTTTCATAAGACTCCTTTGCACACACTGTCCATTATGTGGTAGTTTTGAATGGCCTTTTTTCTCCAACTGCTAAAATAAAAATATTGTGAGTCCTTGACATAACTTTCTGCAGTGAAGCAATGCCCAGTGAATGCCTGATGAAGGAAATGAAGTTTCCAGTTCCTGTACCTTATTTGGGGATAGGAGAGCAAGTTTAACTATATCAGAACATCTTTGGAGCTAGGCAGAAAGCTTCCTACTGAACGGGAAACACCATACCATCTAAAACTTTAATGTATCTGGACTTTGTTTCTTCCAGTACAAAAAGATTAACATCCATAGGGAAATTTTCCTAGTTAGACTCAGTCTTGTTTTTCCTACCTTTCATCCTACCCTTATCATAAGAATTCTAAGAAACCCTCTCTCTCTTTTTTTGAAACCCTTTCTTTTGCAGATTGATTATATACTACCATGTCTATATTTTATAATGTATTTATGTGTAAAATTTTATGAATAGATCTTAAATATTCTTAATCAGATATACTCATGTGAGATGATGAATGTTAGCTTGATTTGAGTAATCATTTTACAGTGTACACATACACCAAATCATCCTGTATATCATAAATATGGAGAGATTTGATCTATTATAGCTCAGTAAATCTGGGAAAGAAAGAAATCACTACAATACATATGTTAAAAACACAAATAATTTTTAATTTCCATTTCTCTATAAAACCTTCAACCAAACAACCAAGGAAAAATACTCAGTGTTCTCATTGAATTAATTAAAATTCTGTCTTCTGTAGGTGAGTGTTTCTATGGTTGGTTAGAGCCTTTGCTGGCCAGAATAGCCCAGAACCACACTGCTGTGGTGAGCCCAGACATTGCCTCCATAGATCTGAACACATTCGAATTCAACAAGCCTTCTCCTTACGGGAGTAACCATAACCGTGGAAATTTTGACTGGAGTCTTTCATTTGGCTGGGAGTCACTTCCTGATCATGAGAAGCAAAGAAGAAAAGATGAAACCTACCCAATTAAGTAAGATGATTGCTCTCCCAGTTTTATGTTCATGCTATCATGCCATGTATTGAATATTAATGCATTCTTAGTTTTTCCATTAGTTGCCTCTGAGGTAGTTCATATTAACAACAACAAAGGAGAATATATATTCTAAGTATAGAGAATATTCAAACAACTTAGTCACCTATATATGAGATTACTCAATAGGAAATAGAATAAAATAAGCTTTTATGTTTTCCCAATAAATAAGAAACTTAAGGCACGGGTAGGAGAAAACAATGTGGGAGAGGACACTGAAAATGCTTATTAAAGTTGACTTTGAAAATAATGTTTTAAATTCTTATTATTTTACAAAAAAGTTTTAAGTTATGGTATGTCTTTAACTTGTAAAGTTATTCAGATATTAATCTATAATATTTTAACTTGTTTAGTTTTTTTTTAACAAAGTTTGATAATGGGTTATTTTTCAGAACACCCACTTTTGCAGGAGGCCTCTTTTCCATATCAAAAGAATATTTTGAGTATATTGGAAGTTACGATGAAGAAATGGAAATCTGGGGAGGTGAAAATATAGAAATGTCTTTCAGAGTAAGTTTGTAGAAATTAAATATAGAAACATGTTAAAACAGTGAAATAAAAAACAATGAAATGCATTGTCTTCTGATTGACAGGTACAGATTATTATGAATGTATGCAGTCTTTCAGTAGTTTTTAAAATTTAATTACTGGAATTTTTTTTTTTTTTTTTGTGGAACTAGGGATTGAACTCAGACCCTTGCACTTGCCAGGCAAGTGCTTATTCTACTGAGCCATCTCTCCAGCCCCCTACTGGAAATTTTAGAATAAGAATATTCTCTTTTAAACTGTGACTTGATATGTTTACACATGGTTGTCAGTATAACAAGAAGAATCGGTTAAACCAATTAATGCATTTGTAGCTATTGAATTCCAGCCAAGATAAATATAATTAAACCTAGTGGTTCAGGACATAAGTTGATTATCAGGGGAGTCGGCATGGAAAAAATGTGTAATTTTAAAGGACACTGGACTTAACTTATTGGATAAAATGTGCATATATATATATTCTAATTAATATGAAATCACAAAACCTTTGGACAATCTCAGTGTTACCTAATTTATTTGACTTCATGAGATTAGTTTTTGCTTTAATTTCAACATTCACTTTTCATCCCTTTAGGCTGGAATGTTGTGAAAAAAAGCACTGCACTAGATGTTAAGATTTAAGTGGCACTGGCTCTGGCATCGTCACAGCCCATGATGATGATCTGGGTCAGGTTTGGACTGTGGAGGCAGCAGGCTTGTTTTATTCACTTAAATATTTCCAGCCTATACCATGTTTTTTTTATTTCAAGTGTAGTTTTTTTTTTTTTTTTGTATTTTCATATTTTATATTTGTACACAGATCAGATTCATAGTGATTCTCCTGTTTTCAGCCTCCCGAGAGCTGGGATTACAGGTGCCCACCAGCATTCCTAGTCTCAGTGTACCCCAGGGGCAGAGCCAGCAAGGCAGGCTGGCGATCAAACCCTGGTCCCTGTGTCTGCCTAAGCGTTCAGGTGTAGTTTGTTGACTTGAAATGTTAAGTGTGTTTTGGTAGAATAAGTGTTAAGTGTGTGTTGATAGAATAATGAAAAAGAAAAAAGAAAGATATTATTTGCTCTAATACTATTAAATATAACTTCTCAGATCTTTGTATAGTGATAATAACAAAATCAAATATTAGCAAATTTAAGTTTAAAAGGTAATTTCATGATTCACCATGCAAATAAGTTTTTGTACTATTTGTAATAATATGCATTTGCATGTTTTGAACCATCAATATCCATAAATTTTTAATAATAATCCAACTACTTTAAAATTTAATGGACTATACTTAGATAATTATAGAGATCAGTAATAATTTTCTTGATTACCAAATTTATGTATAAGAGGTAAAGTCTGGTTCCACTAGACCACTAGCTCATGACTTAGAAGAGAACTACTGTAATTTAAATGAAGTGATCATGTAAGTTGTGTGAATTGGAAGTCAAATTCACAAGAACTTTTCATCTGTGCATATTAGTTAGAAAAGTTGGATACCTTTTTGCAAAAAAAAATTTCCTTTTCTCTTTCTTCTCTTTCTTTCTCCTCTTCTTCCTCTTTCTCCACCTCGTCCTCCTTTTCATTGTCCTCCTCCTCCTTGTCCTCCTCCTTCTCCTTGTTATTGTCCTCCTCCTCGTCTTTCTCCTCCTCCTGCTCCTCCTCCATTATTTCTTCTTCTCCTTCTTTTCCTTCTTCTTCCTCCTCCTCCTCCTCTTCCTCTTCCTCCTCCTCTGATTCCTCCTCATCCTCATTCTCTTCTTCCTCTTCCTCCTCATCCTCTTCCTCCTCTTCCTCCTTCTGATCCTCTTTCTCCTCCTCCTCCTCCTCCTCTTCTTTTTTTGATTATAGAGCCCCAGGGACTTCACAGTGACCTACATCCTCAGCCTTTTTTGTATTTTTTTAAATTTTGAAACAGAGTTTTGCTAAAGCCCTAGTTTGTCTGGGCTTGAACTTTTGATCCTACTTCCTGGGACACCCAGATGTGTACCACCATTACTGAGTTCATTTTTGTGAAAGATCCAAAATCGTTGTTAGCTTACCCTCTGAAGATGTCTGTGTAACATTTCCATCATTTAGTACAATCATTCTGTATGTTTGCAAAGCTGAAGTTGAAGTTCAAAGGCAGGGCCTATTGGTAAAATTATAGTAATTCCTTATATTTTGTTTTTATTAATCTCTTAAAGGTGAATTTTTAAGCAACAGTTTGATTTCCCCAAAATACTGTAAATTTAAACAAATATCATTAATTATCAGGTGTGGCAATGTGGTGGGCAGTTGGAGATTATGCCTTGCTCTGTTGTTGGACATGTTTTTCGCAGCAAAAGCCCTCATTCCTTTCCAAAAGGCACTCAAGTGATTGCTCGCAACCAAGTTCGCCTTGCAGAGGTCTGGATGGATGAATACAAGGAAATATTTTATAGGAGAAACACAGAGGCAGCCAAGATTGTTAAGCAAGTAAGTTTTGTAGAAGTCATTAAATTAGAAAAGCCTGTACCAGCTTCACAGGTCCTTCTGCTTGCCAGACCTCAAGCACACAACATTAAAAAAAAAAAAAAAAAAAATTGAAGCTAGGCTTTAAGAATTTTAACTCTTAAAAATATATCTTATGGATGCCAGTCTTTTTCTCTTAAAAAAAGAAAATATTTAAAAAAAAAAAAGAAAAAGAAAATTTTTTTAATCCAGGCTTTTTACTTGACTTTATCCTCTATCTTTGAAAGTGACTGCTTCTGTTTCAATATTTTACTCAAAAAATAAGATTAAGTTGAACTACTCTTATTTTTTTAAAACTGATTTCAGTGGATGTTTAAAAACCTAAAAATCAGTACTAAGTGGCTTTTTAAAAAGGAGATAGATAACAAATGTCTTAACGAGCCATGAGAATAAGCTAGGCTTTTCTTTGTAAGTTCTAGTTCTATGACTCCCTGGAGGTGCTAGCTTGGCAGTGCCGCTTTTAGAATATACAATGGGGATGAAGCTCATAGCGTAGTTCCCAGGGGCCTGGATGAAGAGCGCATGGTACGTGTTTTACCGTTTTTCTTCCCTGTCTTCAGAGATGAAATACATATCCTGCCTCCGCCAGAGTCGCTGTGAAATAAAGTGATAAGTGCTAACAAAATTATGGTACTCTTGCTATTACCTAGTTATAGCTCTCTATTCCCCCCAAGAGAACCATGCTGCCCAGTACAGTGGACCCGAGAGTCTTCACATTGGGCGTGGCAGATTGACTAGACAGTACTAGTTTATTGAGAGTCAAAGGCATCAGTGCCTTGATGGTCATAGTAAAGAAAGATCTCATTACCCACTGCCACATTTTCTTTGGTCTCTTTTGTCACCTTATGTCGTGTCAATAGGAGTCCAATTCAGAGCACTACTGGGTTGGATTGCTGTCCCAGGTCACTAATACAAACTGGGCAGATTATGTCCTGCACAGGAGTGCTTGGCCATAAGCACACAGTGTTAAATGAAATATGTGCTCTGCTTGTGACTCACAGCAGGACAGGTGAGCCATCGAATACCTCTTCTTGCCACAGAGCACATAGATCTACCTGGTCACCTTATGGGCGAATCCTCAAAAGTCTACTTTTTGTTGAAATACCTGCATTCAAGCACTGAAGTTAGGATGTTTTCCTTAGTTGGACTGGTGAACTCTTTTTTTTTTTTTTTTTTTAATTTTTTTTTATTTTATTTTA